GGAGACCCTGTGGGCAGTTCCACTCTGTCCTCTAGGGGCGCTGTGGGTCAGAATGGACTCTTAGCACCGTGGTTAGAGTGAACTGTGCCTCAAGGTCTCTTCTCTTCCTGGTAATGATGTTGGTCTGAGAGCCCTTTCCGGGGCACTGTCACTGCCCTGCAGAAATGCCAGGCCCTCTGCAGCTAGTGCAGGCTTCCCCGCCTGGCCATCCCCACCAGCCGCTGTACAGGAGGGCATCAGGGACTCGGGCGACGACGGTGAGCCCAGCAGAATTCCGTGGAGCCCTTTCTTGGCAGGAATGTTCACACCCAGTGCACTGAGAGGGGGGACTTTAAACTCACCTTTCAGCTGCAGGAAAGTCAGAAACTCCATGATGGTGCGGGCGACGCCATTCTCGGGCAGCGGCCTGTCGTAGCTCCCTAAGAAAGAGAAGAGACCCACGTCCCTCCCGTCGTGGGTATGTCTGTGCCGGTGGCGTCACCACCACACGGTGGACGCTGGGGACTTTGAGGCTGATGAGTGAGCCTTGCGAAGGTGTCTATGACTCTCCCAGGGCACAACTGGCTGCAGTGGAAGGGACACGGCACAGGCCCACCTCTTCTCGAGGCACTGCCTGATGGGCCAGCCTAAGGGTCTGGAAGGGACTCCTTGCCGTCTCTGGGGCCTGCTGCCCATGACCAAAGGCCTGCTGGGCGAGGTTGATGCGGGGAACCCACCACGTCTTGGTCACATGCAGGTTGGGTCGGTGCGGGCCCACCACTGCCCCCTGCGTGCACCGGGGAGGTAACGGAGAAGCCCCTCACCTGGCTTTGCCTCATCGTTGTCGCCCAGCCGCAGCCCACGCTTGCCTGTGAGGCCATGCCTCTCCTGGAATGACCGGTGGTTGTCAACGGCATCTGCTCACAAGTCAGACAGGGACGCGTTACTGCATTGCGTTCTGTCATTTATACCCACCCCTTCCCCAAAGCAGGTCTGACTGCTTACAGTCCACACGCCCGTCCCTGGAGAAGGTCTGGGACCCACAGGAGCCGAGGCCGTGGCAGTGAGGCTGCGGGGCCTGGGACAGGGAGCAGCACGGTCCTCACACGGGGTCGGCGCGAGAAGGCGGGAGGACACCGGGAGCCTGCTCCCGGAGAGCAGAGGGGCTCGGGGCCAGCACGCCTCACAGGTGGCGGGCGCGTCGGGATCCAGGCAGGGGGAGGCCGCAGGGCTGGGTCTTACATGCCTGAAAGCCAGGGGCCACAGAGGAACCTTACGTCTGACGTGCTGAGATCTTCGTTTCTCAAAGAACCACTCTGACGGCCGTGTGGAGCAGGGATCGGAGCAGGGAGAGGCGTGTGTGTGTCTGCGTGTGCGCACGTGTGTGTTGCTCCTGTGAGCACGCGTGTGCATGTGAGAGTGTGCATTGGGTGGTGTGAGGGAGGAGACTGAAGATGACATGCAGACAGGTGGCTAAGAAATGAGTGCAGGGTCCGGGGAAGAAACGACGAGGCCACTGGGCCCAGCAGCGCGTGGCGAGAAGGGCCGCTGCGGGCTCCTCCTTCCGTCTGCTGCCTCCTACAGCCACTCATGCATCAGGCAGCGGGCAGGGAGGAAACCCCTCAGCTCCCAGGCCTGGCGAGGTGCCCGGCAATGAAGGAACGGGCTGGGCGTTCTCTGCAGCGTTAGTGAAACAGACTCCTCGCCGTGCGTCCCAACAACACTGAGTGCAGGGACGAGACATCAGCCAAGGGCCAGGCCACCTGCTGGGGGGCGGGGCTTTTGGTGCAAGTCCAGCTGGCCTGTCGCTCATGGGGGGCATCTAGAAGTTGTGGGTGCATCTGTCAGCCTCCCCCACCCCAGCCTGTCCTGCCATGTCACTCCAGGAGAGAGAGCCGAGCCACAGGTCACCTGAAACCCAGATGGACTGATACGTTTGACAAGGGTGTCCTTGAACTTGAGCTTCGAACAGAGAAAGTGCTGACAACACAGGTTGCCATTTTCAAACACACACTCGGAGCCTGTACTGGATGGCAAGGCCTTCCAGAAGGTTCTGTAGAAACATCAGCTGACCCACCTCTACACGGGGCCTACAGGTATCTCTGGCCTCTCCTGGGGACCATAGGGACCCACAGGCCCTGTGGGAGCCTAAGTCACCCCCAGTGAGACTGTCATATGTCTAGGTCACTGACCCACCAAGCCAAGTGACGGACACTAACTAGTTATGGACACTAACTAGTTATGGGTGCTAAGTAGCTGATTCAACCCTCCTGCTTTTCTCTGCCCCTCCCCTCCCCACCCCCAGGCATTCTGGTCACTCAGGGCTGTCTTAAATCCTGCTCTGTGCGAAGTGTGAAAGCCCTAAGGCCACCTAGGACACAGACTGTCCTCAAAGAGCATGCGGAAGTGAAGGGGGATGTTCTGAACCCAGACCCCTGGGGGTCCTGTGGTAACAACAGGGCTCGCAGGGCAGGGGCAGAGAATGTCATTCCGTCCCGGACCCAGCCTCTGTGGTCACCCTCAGGTCCCCTGGAAATCCCCCCGTGAAGCCAAGGAGCTGGGAGGGGTGTGAAGGGAGACACGGGGGACCTGACGGGCGGCGCAGACAGAGCACTGAGGGCCGCCTGCCCGCAAGGACACAGGGATGCCTGAGCAAGGCCACGGGCACCCACCAGGGAGCCGGAAGGAGTGGGCGCCAGGGTCAAATGGTCGAGGAGTCACCACAGAGCTCACGGTGAGCCCCGGAGGGTTTCAGTGAGGTGGGGCCCCGGCGGGGAAAGAGCCCACACATGTTCTCAGAAGTTGGGCAGAAGAAGCAGTGGATGGCGCAGGGGCCCTGCTGCCCAAGGAGGAGCGAGGGGCCCAAGGTCGGGGGTAGACAGAGTCAAGAGCCCTGGCAGGAATGAGCCTGTCAGCTACACAGGAGAGGCTTGGGGGACAGGGCAGAGGACAGACGTTAGGGATCGGGCCACTTCCCAGGGAAAGGGAAAAAGCGCCCCCTAGGGACCGGATTCTCCCAGAGATACAGACCCACTCTGCCTCTAAGTCCCCGGGGAATGTGCTGCCCCACCCCCACATCCCTTCATCTGACTCAAGGTGGACTGTTGACATGTCACATGATGGTTGGAGACACCTGTCAGAAAGCAAAGGTGGCTGCCATCAGCAGCAAGTGCAGGCCGCGCCCTGGCCACCACTTACGTGGTCCGAGAAGGTAGCCGGCGCTGTTCAGGGTCCAGCCTCTCTTTTCCTTTGCCTTAAATGGGAGAAAAGTGGGTCAGACACCAGGATGGGGGCTGGTGGGCACTGCAGTGACTCAGAGAAGCCCCAGACACCTCTCTGTCCCTAAGCTGCCACAACGCCCTATGACGTCACCACAGCCCAGTGATGTTCAGAACTTCAGTGGCAAACACACGCAGCTGGTCCTTCTTCTGACAGAGTGGGTGCAGCTGTAGGACAGGGGCGACTCGGGCGTCCAACAGAGCCTCCTCTCCCGGGATAATGAACCAAACCCACCGCCATCGAGTCGGTTCCGACTCATAGCAACCCCCTGTGGGTTTCCAAGGTGGTAGATCTTTATGGAAGTAGATCACCCAGTCTTCCTTCTGAGGAGTGGCTGGTGGGTTTGAACCGCCAACCTTCTGGTGAGCAGTCAGATGCCTTAGACACTACGCCACCAGAGCTCCTTCCCGATATAATTTGGGGGTTGAATGGCACATGCACTTTCGGAGGCTGTAAGAACTTTCAGCTTTACTCCAAATCGAGTCCATTTGGCACAGAAACAGGACCACTGGCTTTGCCAACAGCCCCCTCCAGGGCATGGGTCCCCACGGACCACCCACTGTTCAAACCACCTTAGGAGCACCTTTTGCTGAGGGCTCCGGGGAACTGATAGCATCTTTATCAAAGAAGAAGGATCTGCTCCTGACTGGTCTAAGGAGCAAACCCAAATCCCAGCCCTCTCCAGTTCTCCTGGTTGCCAGCCCAGGGCTGTGCACGGACTGCCAGAAGGATGCTCAGGGGTGGGGTGGGGGGCTGGCGGGGAATCCTGGCCCTCGGCACCCGCTGCCCACAGGGCCACCCTGCCCCTGGCACTGGCTGCAGCGGGAC